ACTTTCCCTTCAGACTAACAGTTCGTTTATATAACACTGTTAAACTATGCTTACCTAATAAACAAAGTTTATATAGCCTAAAAATTACAGTAACATAATGTAGATTGATGATGATGTTACTATAGATGTATAAATAAATAACATATCTGTTAACACAAGAACTTTTTGATAAACAAAAGTTCATCAGCTAAAAACCTCACTGAATTGAAAGTTTTTGGGCTCATTCAAACAGCAAAAGCTTAAGGTCAGTGAAAATGATGCTAATAAAGAAATACTAAAATGGAGAAAATGTTTTATTTAAAGTACTCTTTTTTAATGAAAGTAAGCTTAAAAGGCCTGGCTTCTGCGTACTAGAGTTAAAAGTGCATAGAGAATAAACGAACAGACTAATATTATTTTATAAACAGATTCTGAATGATATTCTATTTTTCGTAAAAATAATCGAATCAAATGACCATTTGTAAAACTATTTTCAATATTATGTTTAAAATATTGTAGCAAAACATTCAACTTTTATTTGCTACGCAAATAATATAAATGGTGAGATCACGTAACTGGAGGGCTCTAAACAATTGGAATATTAATTAATGTTACTCTTTATGTAAATAGGTCTAATATTTATATGATCGATTTATTGTCAATCGTCATTTTTATCTAGTCTATTTGGAAATACTAAGACGTATTTCTGCAAATATAAATTTTACTTAGGTGCTATTTTCATTTTCTAGTGACTTCATTATTTCTAAATTCGATCCATTTTCAGTAAGTTCAAATTATTATAAATAATTTTTGCAATCTTGTAATTATCCTTTGACAGATTCTTAAAGTGTTTATTTAAAAAAAAAAAAGCAGTTTGATTGCACCAATTATTTGTGTTAAACGAATGGAATATAGAAAATTCTGAGAATAAAAATGTAACTGCATCGGAAAAAAAGGCATAAAAAATTCAATATGTAAAAAAGTAGCGTTCTAATATCAGAAGAAAGGAAGGAAATGTAAAATAAAGGGGGGGAGTACAGAAACAACACAAAAAAGTCCAATAAGAGAGAAACAACAGAATGCTACTGCTCTATTTTCACTTTCCAGTCTGTTATTATTATTATCATATATAATATAATATAATATATTTGTTATATATTAGAGGGAACATAATGCAATCGGTCAAAAATGACCCCCGAAGATTTTTTACCTTTTTTCGGGGAACTCGGGGGACCTTGAAACGTCGAGAAATGCAAAATATTGGGTTTTTTTTTTCTATGTGTTTGTGTGTGGAAGCACGAGTTTGTTCACTTATTGAAAATTATCCCCTGTGTTTTTTTGTCAAAAATTTATAAAATTTTAAAGGGAGGTTCGTGTATTAGGAGCATATTAAATTTTGATGATTAGAAGCGAGAAGATAATGGGTGATCACGTGTCATATCTCGAGAAGAGTTGGACCTAATGAAGATTTTATTTACTCGTTATTACTATTTACAATTTTTTTCCTTTATTAAAAATAAAACTAATCTTTACCCTCAAAATTAAGCTTTTGCCATTTTATAATAATTAATAATATAAAAAGTTTTTCTTTTAAAATATTTCATAATAGATGTCGCCACATACAATTTTAACTTTATGCTAAAGTATCTTCGTATTTCTTAAACATTAAATTTTTTTGTAATAATAAATTCCTCAGAAATATCAAAAATGGGAAAACGGAGACAAATGTCGATTTCGAAAGAAAAGGTAAAAAATTGAAAATCACTCTTTTCCTCGTACAAATTTTTATTTTACCAAAAAATAAATGTGTTTGTTTCAAACATTTTCTTTAAAACCCACACTCACTCTCAATATTAACGTTTTTATGCTTCTTTATAACTTTTGATAGAACAAACCAGTTGAATTTTAACTATTTCAATAAGTATATTAATAAAATAGTTTTGATAAATTGATATTTCCCCAACCACAACCTTTAGAATATGAGGTAAAAATAAAAAATATAAAAGCAGCTTTTTATGAAATTCTTTGAGACAAATATTTTTCTGTTAATAATCATAATTTCCATCGAAATTAGACCGAAAGATCTTTATATGTTGAAGAGGTGGGAAATATACTATTTTTACAATAGTTAAATGACTGTTTTATGAGTAATTATTCGTATTAATAATGTAATGTGAATATGAAGACCGAAAGATAATGGTAATTATTATTAGGGATGGAAAGAAATCAGGAATGACGGGAAAGTCCAGCGTTTTACTTTTCTGGCTGTTATATATAACAGAGGGAAAGTATGGCGATCGGTCAAAACATGACCCCACTCAGATTTTAACATTTTTGGACTCAGGGAATCTTTAAACGTCAAGATATGCAAAAAAAATTCAGGGATAATTTCCGTATGTATTGTGTGGGAAGTACGATTTTGTTCACCCTCTTTGAAGCTTAATAACTCCTGTGTTTTTTGTCGAAAATTTCTGGAATGCAGAGAGGTTTGCTTATTGGAGGATTGATGCTAATAAATTTTGGTGATTAAAGATCGAGGGTTGGTTAGATAAAGGGGGTCGTGTGTGTATATCCAGTAGGGTCGGGCTTAATGACGATTTTAATCGTTATTGGCATTTACATTTTTTTAAAAATAAAAATCCATTCCAATTCTCAAAATTAAGCTTTTCGCCATTTTATAATAGTTAAAAATATAAAAAGGTTTTTATACAAAATATTATAACAGATGGCACCACCAAATGTTGTCGGGGAAAGTTAGGCAACTCGTTGCTGAATTTTTTATATGTGTTATGAAGTTAAGTAACTTAAAAATATCGCAATGATGAAAGGACAACAAGATATAAGTCAAAAAACACAACACCTTAATTTGCTGAGAAAAATTTTAATGTAAAGCAAACGTTTTCAGCCAAATCTGTTGGCCATCATCAGGCTAAGAACATTCGAATATAAATAAATTAGAACAAAAATTTAAATACAAATAAAATAAAATAACGAGCGAAATCTAAATATATAAAATTGCTTGTCCTGACTGACTCACTCATTCATTCACTGATTCATCATCGCCCAGAGCAAACCGCTTAACCTAAAGAGGTGAAATTTGGTACACAGTTAGGGTACGTCATGGAAACGCACACTAAGAAAGGATTTTTCGAAATTCCAACGCGGGGGGGTGAGGGNGAACTAATATGAAATATTAGTTTAGTGCGTTGATTTTAATATTTTTTGCATAACTTGAATTTCACTGAATTTTCTATATAACGTTTTAATATTTAATTAACCTATGCTTATTTTTTTCATATACATGGTTTGTTATTTGTATTAATAATTTTTATTTATTTTATTATTCTTTATACATTTATATACTGTATATATTTCGCTCGTTATTTTATTTTATTTGTATTTAAATTTTTGTTCTAATTTATTTATATTCGAATGTTCTTAGCCTGATGATGGCCAACAGATTTGGCTGAAAACGTTTGCTTTACATTAAAATTTTTCTCAGCAAATTAAGGTGTTGTGTTTTTTGATTTATATACTAATGCTGAGTGAGTGTACATCAGTTGGACAACAAGATAACCTTACAGAATATAAAACTGCATAATATTATAGAATATACTAATTTATTGTTTTTTTCCTGTATTATTCATTATTGATCATAGATTTTTACTTAAAATAAAAATCAAACCAAAATATCAGGTAATGAATCTAAAACAAAATAACAAAATAATAATAGTAAAGTTGGCGCTTTTTGATATTTTAATTTTGTAATGAAAATTGATTATAAACTTTCTATTTTAATTACTCAAAATTTCAGACATCAAAAATGAAAAAAAATTGTTTAATTCTTCTCTGTATAATTTTAAAAGAAATTTTTGTTAACAGTTATCTCTTATCGGAATTCGATAAATTGTAACTAACAATTATGAAAAAGATACAAAACATCAAATGCATCGAGTAATGTTAAATTTTCAATTAAATTTTATTATTCTTATCGAATTTAAAAATATACACAGTATATATCACTTTAGCATTCTAAATGTTTAATTTCACACAAGTTTTATCGAAATTTAAATAGAATAAAGAACTCGGGCGCGATTTTAAAATTTTATTACAGGTTTTTAATTCATGTTTGAACTTAGTACATGTGATTGATTGATGGTATAAGGCAACTCAACAGATGAATGATCAGCCAAGGGAGAGTTCCTCCCAGGAAATATTTTGTGTGAAACTATCTTTTATTTAGAATGTTAAACGCGTGAAGAAAACCCAGCAAACTTCACGACGCCAGCCCGTTGATGAGGCGCGAACCTACGATCAACTAGTGTTCTGTGGTTTTATCTTGTGTTACATGGCTGAGGTACAGTACTTAAGGCGTCAGCCTACTTTTCTGGAGAACCAGAGAAGTCGAAAAGCCACAATAATTTTTTTATGATCAGTCGAGTCCCATTCCTCATCACCTGGCTGTTCCCACTGTTGGTATTTCGTCTGAGCCCACGATGAAAATGGAAAAAAAAACATCCTCTTAGTTCCAAAGGGCATAGTTTTAAAAAATGTATAGTATATTTTGTTTTTCTCGCGATTAATCTATATATTAAATGATGTAAATATTTTTATCATATTTAATTTAGCAGATATGAGTTTTTTCACGATATGTTTCATTTGTAGCGCTTTATTAATGATCTCTTTTTATCTCATTTTTTTCATTGCTTACTTAATTTCTGCCAAGTATTTTTTATTGGTGTAATCAATAATTGAATACATATTGTCTCAGTTTTATGTCTTCTTAACAATCTGACAAATATTATTAAATCTGATCCAAAGTATTACATTCGAACAGAGTATAACCGCATAAAATCATACTAAATACTCTTTTTATTTCATTATGGTTACCATAAACTTAATGAAAATTTTTATTGCTGTTATATGGTAAAAAATTTGCCCTCATAATTTCTGTTTTAAAAATTAAAAATACATTTAATATGTTGTTATAACGTATTTTTTTAATCACACAGGCACTACACGATGGTCAGCCTACTACTACTACTACTACTACTACTACTATTACTTCTACTACAAGGCACTACTACTGCTACTACGAGTATTATTATTGATGTCTTTTTGTTGCCAAACTGAAAGTATCCTTAAAAATAGATCAGAATAACTTCTCATACTAAATTAATGAATTAATTTATAAAAAATACCTTAAAATCCTATCTTAAAAAGCCCGGAACATTAATGTAGGTCTTTATGCAGAGAACTTTCTTTAAAATTATTCAGGTTTGTGTTTCCAGTTCTACTTTATATAAATTGATTATGAAATACATTATAACTTAAGAATGAAGCTTAAATAAAGGAGATAGTTACTAAATTTAAATTTTTATTCCTTTAATGTTAGATTATATTTAATTTAAAATAATATAATCAATTTTGCTATTACATTGACTCACAAACTTGATTTAACTTCAACGACTGTTCAGCTGTACATGTATTAGTGTTTGATGGTTGCTTGGTGACCAACAAATAGTTTCAACCCTTGATCAATTCTTTATTTTAAAAAGATAGAATCCGGAAAAAAATTGGTTTATATGTCCATATATCTCATCTGATATATTAGAAGTCATTTTATTAATATTTTTGCAAATTATTCATTATTTTCATAAATTTCGAGGGTCAACAATCGGTTAAATTAAAAAATATATTCAATTAAATAATTATTAATAAATTAGAAAGAGAGAGAAAATAAAAACTACTAATATTTGCAATGAATATTTAGTAAAATTAACATTAAATTTACAAAATAGAAGCTTAATTTTAAAACTTTGGCTTAAAAAGTTCGGACTTGTTTTAAGTAAATTTTATAGATATTTAAAAAATATTTCTATAGCTTACTTCTATCTATAATAATGCAGCAAATTACATTTAGTCAGTTACACATACTTCATTGTTTAAAATGCATTTAGTCAATATTGTATTAAATATATGATAGAAAATGAATTAAAATTGATATAGGGGAAAACCCGGTTATAAAACAACAATAGTGGTAAAAATTTATGGGAATTATAGGGCGTTGGTGAGTCTTAGAAACGAGGCTGACTATATTTTGATTGGTAAGTTATCCAGGCGATTACACAGTGGACTGTAATGATCGTGTAGAGTAACAGAATGTAGGTGGCTGGCCGAGTGCCAAACTGTGAATGAACCTCTATTATAAACAACTTTACATTTCTGGTGTTCATTATGCTCCTGGATTAATTGTTATTTCTACTTTCAGGATGGGTTGCGGTACAAGTAGAAGTTCTCGTCTAATATCTCCTTTTAGTAAAGCAGTTATAACACCAAATTTAACATGGACAAACACGGGTGTAATACCACTTACGAGGAAGAAAGTGGCGGAAAAGAGTGTACAAGTGGGTGATATCCTTGGTAGAAAGGAAGTATCAGCCCAAACGGATAATTTTCGTTTTCCGATGGATGAATTAGAAATGCTTCTCGAAGAAGATTCTGATCAACCAGAAAATACTGATGTGGAAACACAGACATGGAACCAACAGTCTTCCACAAGGGATAATGTTAAAAGTGTGTTAATGCAGACAGAAATATCGCCTTCTCAGAAGAAGTTCGCTTATTTCAATATGCTTAAAAACAATTCGGTTCAATTAGTTACCATCGATATAGGTATACAAGCAGTTCCTTTAACATTAGACCGATGTACTCAGACTTACAGGCTTATAAAAAAGCCGAAAACTAGTTCAGGAAAAGAAAGATCGGTCGACCCGTTAGTAAAGAAAATTGCTGAGGCGAACAGACATAAAGGTCTGGCTATGGCGGATTTTGAATCTCAAACGGACCCCGTAACCAAAGCTTTAGCTGCCAATGCCGCAGGAAATGAGAATCTTCTAGTTATGGAAGCCGATCCTCCTATAGCTCACATACAGAAAGAATTATTTTCTACAACCTCGAAACCAAATCAGACAGCGATACATGAAAGTATCGCTCGGCTGTTGGAAGATGTCGAAGATAGTTTGAGGTACGATTCTGATTACGACGGACGTTTTGCCTACGCTGATATACTTAAATGCGATGCTGGTGTTCAGACGGTTAATGATCCTATTACTGATGAAGCACCCGAATATGCCGCTCGTCCTCCGCCATGCAGGAAGAAAGAGATGATACCCAACATGGGTGCTTTCAAAGAAATCGACAGGCATGCTTTAGAGGTATATATATATATATTTAAATTTATTTCATAAATAATGCTGTATCACATGATTATAAACAAGTAATTTGTTAATTTTAAGGCTCCTGAATCGACTAAATCATCAGTGAGAAATCTAGTTAATTATTTAAGTGCTTCAGCTAAAAATGATTTACAAAAAGTCAGAGTATTCTTCCGCTGGATTACTAATAATATTTCGTAAGTATACCTTTTCACATCACTTTTTAATATAATAGTAAGTCTATAATGTCAACTTGGTTTGACCTTTATTATTATTATTATTACAGTATTACGTTACATTAGCTGAATCACAAGTAGCCGTGATCTATAAAATCAGTTTTAAAGTACCAAACGAGCATTTGGTATACTTTTTTTTATTAAACGATGTCTAAATTAGTTATGCACGAATTTATTGCGTGACACTTATAACAGTCTCACCATTTATTTAGTATAGCCAACAAGTGCATATTTCGCAATTATTTTTTTCTAATTTTCCTTCCATATAATTTCAACGTTTGGGTTTTAGTAAAAACATATTTTAAACCTATTTAAAAAAAAAAATATTTTGTTCATTTGATATCAAAGCGGCAATATCAAAGTATAAGATAAATATTACAAATTTTAAAGTTAAATATTTTTGTAAAAATCGTATAAATTGATTTAGTTTGTTTATTTGATGGATACGGCAATGCATGGGCGATTTGCCAAGGAGGAATCCTTCCGGCAGGGCCGTCGAGAGCATGTATGGGGCCCTGGCATGTAGGTCCCTTTTACTTTTTCGAAAAATGAAATGTATAGAATGTAATATAACGTAGCGTGTTAAAGTGCGAACTCGTGACCAACCAGTGTTCATTAATGAAATTGATTTACTATTCTATTAAATTTGACTATTTCTATTAAATTGATAAATTTAAAATATTTTTTTCACAATACAAGAACTGCAAATAAAATAAAATTATAAAAAAATTTATCTTTTTTTACAGATAGATGATAAACACAACTTTCTAGACTTTGTTTATCGATAAAAATTATATTTTACTCTAAATTAATCAATAAAGTTACGCACGTAACTTTTCAAGTAATTGGTTAACCACTGAAGAAAACAATTTTCGATTCTGTATTTTTTTTCGTTGATAAAATAGTTTTAATCTTCATAGAAATATTTCATTATTGTATTATTTAATCTTAAAATATTCTTTCAGCTACGATTGGCGTTACATGGAAGTAAGGTTATCAGCTGAGGAAGTACTTCAAAGAGGAGAAGGTGTTTGTAAAGATTATTGCAAATTATTTAGCGAAATGTGTAGGTAAGTAAAATAAAAATATTTAATCTATTTATAAATTTTCATATTCATAAATCAAAATATATGTCATGTATATTATATTGTTTTCGCAGAATAGCGGGAATACGTGTAAAAACACTCAATGGTTTTGCCAAAGGTTATGATTACAGGCCAGGTGAACAATTTCTTCCAGGAGAAGCTGTGACACATGCTTGGAATGCAATTTACATTTTTGGTTCTTGGCGATTGATAGACACTACATGGGGCACAGGTAAATTTTTTTTAATAAAATTTTTCTTTAAATCACGCGATAAACAGAAAGTGTTTTACAGTTTATATGGTAAGTTATTTAGAAGGGATTATCAATATTCAATTTTTTTAGTAAACTATATTTTAAAAGCAGATAGAACAAAAGATGAATGATGTAAATGATTTTTTATTAAAATACAATAATTATTTTACTGATAATTCGAGATTAGATGAATTATCCTTGTTAGGGATGGAATTAGAATTGCTCTGGCCTTAAGTTGTAACATATAACAATGTTTCTTTCCCTTACTCAAAAAATGATACATGTAAAAGTGGGAGAGCCTATATAATACACTCATAACGCGAGACCATAAGTTGCAGCTGGTTTAGTCCTGAACCTTGTAACACAATTCTTAAAATAGGCGTGACATTTTACTCGAATTATGCTTAATAAAAGATTATTATACTTACATGCCTAAATAACTTACAAACAAAAAAATGCAAAATGTTTTCTAGTTTCACATAGAGCTCTAATATTTTTATTCTCATTCACATATGTATATATTATATATATTCATGATTATTATATAGAAACTGCACTTTATTATCAACTTACAGAACGTGATAATCATAAAGATTAAAGTTTTTTCATTACGTTACTTCAAGATCTTTCGTTAAAAATTGATATAATCAATAATTCACTAATCAGTCTGCTATACTCTAGATGTTTTAAATTATTGATATGGCCTTTAATTTAATACTGTAGGGGAGACCGGGGCAACTTCGGCATGCGGGGCAAGTTTGTCAAGCGCTTTTTTTTAAAAAACAAATTAAAAGGAGACTTTGGTTATAGGTTAGGCAGTTGAGTTTTATTAGTGGCTTGTTGAGTGTAGTGTTTTTATTGTTCTCCAACAAGCGTAGTTGAATTATCAAGCAAATTTTCATTTTCGTTGAATTCCATATAATATTTTTTTTCCATTTATATTGAATTGGCAGGTTTTGTTATAATTCCATGATAACGAAAGTTACTTTTCCTGTTAGAAGGATGTAACTTCAACTTATTCACGTGGCCAGATCGTGGCTTGGCATTCTGTTCTCAGGGTTGTACTTAATGTTTCGAAATCATGACTAGCGGGGTAAGATCGGCAACATAAAGCCACATTAGAAGCAAAGGATAAAAATCAAACAGATGATAAATGAAAACATGTTTGCATTTGTTATTCATGTATATATGTCTTTGAACTTGCATTTCGTTGTAATAATATTAAATGGGTGTTGGATTTGTATTTCTTTGTTTTAATAGTGAATTCCAACTTATACATTGTTAATAACATAATTTTATATACGTGCCTATCTTGCCCCATTACTGTTGCCCCTATACCAGGGGCAACTTTAATAAAAATAATTAAAATAATTACAACTTTACAAAAAGAGAGAAGTTGCCGATCTTGCCCCTATACCCGGGGCAACTTCGTCAATTTCTCTCTTCTTGTAAAGTTGTAATTATTTTAATTATTTTTATTTCCAAACTGATTTTAACCAGTAAGGTAACATTACAATAGACAATATGCAAAGCTTTTTTTTCAGTTTATAGCAGTATTTATTACACAAAATTTAAGTAAAGCTTAACATGCCGATCTTGCCCCGGTCTCCCCCTATATCAATAAACAGTAATGCAATAAAACTATCAAATTCATTTGTACTTAATTTATGCACACACACAGTATATATAGTATTTAGTTCAATTTTAATACAATATTTCTTAAAATATCAAATGAATTTTAGCAATATAATTTAATAAAAACAAATTGAAATTATTAAAATTTTCTTTCAGTTTATTTAGTTATAATTTATTTCATTTAACTAATTAAAATGGTTACGGAAAATCCTATTGATAAACTGTATATTAATAGAAAATTTCCTAATAAAATTTATCATTATTATTAATATAATCTGTTAAAATTGTAAAATAATTTTTCAAGTATTAAACAATTAAAGTAGCATACATGCATACTACAATTGTTATTAAGGAAATGCTTAGATTACAAGTATTGCCATAATGACAATTCCTTTAATGATGAAGTACTTTATATATAAAAACTATCCTACGTTTATATATATATAAGGCCTATATATAAAAGTATTCTATATATATAAACGTCAGAATATATATATATGTGTGTGTGTGTGTGTGTGTGTGTGTGTGTGTGTGTGTGTATACGGAAATTCTGACGTACTCTTGCGCGCAGAGTCTATTTTGCTTTATATCTTACGGAGAAAATATGTTGAAACTTGACAAGAATACTCCTATATATGGGGCATTGATGATATTATATTTTGCAGATTATAAGTCAAGGGGGAGATAAATAGGATAATGTGTCAAATCGTGGATGGGGCCAGACTTTAAAAATTTGTAAATGCCAATAAAAAGTAAAATTTTTATTAAATACTCCTATCCACAAAAGTAAAGCTTTCTTTACTTTTTGGGGTAGGTTATTCATTAATAGCATCTGATATATTACTTCAAATATGTCTGATAGGTTACAGAAGAGATATTTCATATTTAATACAGTATTTCTTACCTAAAGTTCCTAAAAACATTACCGTGTTTTTTTAAAAAACTTTATAATGGAAAAATTTTTTTGGCTTTTTAATTTTATTAATGGTTACAATAGAGATGTTCTGAACGGTTACATTGACAGTAATGCAGTGCCAAAACAAGCTGGCACGTATAAGAGCATGCTCTTATAACTTTTTTAAAAATTTTGTTTGGAATTCAATAATTTTGATTAATTTTCATGAAATTTGTGCGATATGTCTAAATGTACCTAGAAGTTTTTGATCTGAAATCTCCTTAAGCTTTTCATATGAAAAAATGCAGACAGACAATTAGAAAGAGTATTTGAAAATTAGTTTGAGCAATACACATTTAAATAAGATCGATGAAGAACAGTAACAGTTTTAGCATAGCAAAAACACATTAAACAGATTATTCATGATGCAATCACTTAACAAATAAGGAGAACAATGATCACGTTTGTGTAATAAATTAACGGCTTCATTATACATATTTATGTCATATATCCCAAACAACTTCGATAAATGTGCAGTGAAGCATATTAATTACCAGTAATCTTAACAGATTTCCAATTATCGAGCACTTTACATTAATTCATTAAATTCTTTCACGAATTAATTAATTGTTAAATATAATAATAAGGTATGTGTTCATTTATACCCCGTACAATTGTTGAATTGTATAAATTATACATACATATATAATAACAGTATATACATATAGTATACATATATATACAATTTATAATAATAATATAGATACATGATTTTTATTGGAAAATCTAAAAATGATAATTACTTTAATTTTTCTGTTATCTTAAGCTGTAATACAGGAGTGTCCAACCTTTTTGTTTCTCTGGGCCGCATTGGAAGAAGTCAAGGAGTTTTGGGCCACAAGTATATATAATATATACTTGTGTCCCAATATACAAGTATATTTAAAAATTAACATGTCTAGATTATAATAATAAGTATTAAAACTTTATCAAGAAAAAAGGATATTTTAAAAAATTACTTCTACAGACACTTTCAATTTTTACTTAGAAATAGATAAATTCATTTATTATAAAAGAGACTAAAGAAAATTTATTTGAAAAACACAAATATTTGTTTTATTTGGGTCTCTAATTAATAAAAAGCGACGAAACACCATTTTAAAGTGCATTTTTATTCAACTAATATAATTATAAATAATATGTAGCCCAAAAAGTAGCCAAAGCGCCAAATGATATTTTTTACGTCAAACAAAAAAAAGTAGCCACATTTGGCGCAATGTAGCCAAATCTTGCAACGTTGGAAGAAATACTAAATAAAGCTGGAGTTGTGAATCAAAGGATTATAGACCCAAGTGCGGGGAAAAAGAGGCAAAGGACAAAAGATAAAGAAGTGAAAAAGGTTGAAAAATTACGGGTCCATATTTGCTTAACAGAAGATCTATTTAACGTTTCTCACTACTACATCTTTTGTCCTTTCTCATCTTTCCCTCCTTTTCCCAAATTTGGGTCTATAATCCTTTGAGTCACAACTCCAGCTTTATTTAGTAATCCTTCCGCATTCACACATCTCCAAGTATTTGAAAATATTTTCTTTCCACTCAAAAATAAAATATGAATAAAGGTTTACGGCTTTGTGAAACTTTTTTTTGAGTTTATGCCGTTGAAATAAATAAATAATAAAAAAATTAAAACATTTGTCGGTTTTGTTTACACGTTTATTGGGCCGCATTGGAACTTGCCTTGGGCCGCATGCGGCCCGCGGGCCGCGGGTTGGACACCCCTGCTGTAATATGACTATAGGCCTATAACATCCTCTACAATGTTGTAAACTTGTAATTTACATTAATTACTACCAATACTGAATTAGTTCAGGTTGTTGGCATTCTTCATTTACTTTTGCCGAGAGACATGTGCTTCAAGAAAACACTTCTCAGAAATCGACTGTATATTTTATATGATGCATGCTCCTGTATCAATTTACCTGTTATAATGATTTTTCAATGCCTAAATGAGGCATAATTTTTTTAGAGCACACATTATTGAACTGTGTACAGGTGTCTTGTACATGATCCTCTTATTGCACATTCTCATTTTACACGGTAAATTCGGAAACCATCTACTAAATAACTACGAGGATTTTATGTATCTTATACTGTTATAGTTTAGAGCAATAAAAAAAGTTATACACAAATTATTAAACATGACGTTTTAAATCTAAAAAACTTACTTTCCATATTAATTATTCCTTTCGGTTCCCTTATATCTAAAAGGAACCAAATAACAAAAATTTATTAATTTCACCTTAATTTTACTTAATTGTATCTATTATTGATCAATTTAAAATTTATAACATTTATCGATAACTTGATAAAAATTTAAATAGTTTAATTTGTTAATTAATTTATTATTAAATACATTTAAACGTAATATGTAAACAAATATAGTTAAA